TGTAGTTTTGTGTAAATATGAAAAACATAAATATTTATTTTTTACATTTTGATCGTAGAGTAAATGAGCAGAGTTGCCTTTTGATAAATATATTTTATTAGATATCTAAATAGTATTTTCAAGAAAACAAGAATTTCATCGATACTTACAGAAAATCTAATATTATTCTTAGATTTCAACTTTAATTTTACATTACATTATTTGTTATAGATAAAAAGTGATTAAGTATAAATTATATTAAGTGGAAAATAATTTAATTATCATATTTAATTGTATACACTATTCATTAATTGATTAATTTAATATGATACTATCGAAGCGTTCGCTTAAAATATTATTTGCACTACTTATAACAAGTATTTTACCTTATCTTTATCTATTATCTGCACAAAAACCATTTGCATTTACAATCGCTAAAAAATATTCTGATTATAATGTTAACAATTCTGATTTTGAATATGAAAATAATTCTATATTAACAAATATTAATGTAATACCTTTTCCACAATTTATTGATAAAAAGAATTCCATATTAATAATGTCAAATGGTTTTCGAATTATATCAAAGCAAAGTCTAACAGAAGATCTTCAATTAGCTCTTCGTCGTTATTCAAAATATATATCATTATTAGCAGGAATATCAGTAGAGATTAATCAAAAGTTTTTATCATCTGTAAATAAACTTATTATTGATTGTCCATTAATAACATCACAAAATAATACATATCCAAAACTTGGTGAAGATGAATCTTATACACTTAATATTACAAAAACAGGTTCATATTTATATTCATTATCATTAACTGGTATTATTCGAGGTTTATCAACATTTGTTCAATTAATTGAACGAAATGCATCATCAGATACATTCTATATTCCATTAGTAAATATAATTGATCGACCTCGATTTATATGGCGAGGTTTATTACTTGATGTATCTCGTCATTGGATGCCTGTATCAGTTATTCAACGAACATTAAATGCAATGGAATTAAGTAAATTTAATGTTCTTCATTTACATTTATCTGATGACCAAGGTTTTCGTGTTGAAAGTATTGAACATTATTTATTACATGATAGAAACGATTTTTTTACACAAAAAGATATTAAATATCTTGTTGAATATGCTCGACAACGACGTATACGTATTATTCCTGAATTTGATATACCTGCTCATACAACAAGGTAATTAAATAACATAATGATTATTTTCTTATGAGAAAAACAAAAATTCTTGAACATAATATTTATTTGATTTATATATATATATTTTAGTTGGTTTGTTGGTTATCCAGAATTAGCTAGTCAACCAGGTCCATATCAAGTTGAAACTCAATGGGGTGTAATGAAAGCTACAATGGATCCTACTAAAGAAAATACATATATATTTCTTGATAAATTTTTTAAAGAAATGACAAAATTATTTCCTGATCCATATTTTCATATTGGTGGTGATGAAGTTGAAGGTTCACAATGGACACAATCATCAACAATTCAACAATTTATTAATGAAAATAAACTTGAAAATAATCGTGGTTTACAAGCTTATTTTAATAAACGTATACAAAAACTACTTAAAAAATATGGAAAAATAATGGTTGGATGGGAAGAAATTCTTGATGAAATTCATGAAAATCGAACAATAGACAAAGATGCTGTTATGCAAGCGTGGCTAAGTCAAGAAGCAACTACAAATGCTGTACAAAAAGGTTATCGAGTTATAGTTTCTGATGGTTATTATCTCAATCGTCATCAATCATCAATAAGTTATTATAATGTTGATCCAATTCTTAGTAATCATTTAGATTTACTTCATGAAGAACAGCGAAATCATGTTGTAGGTGGCGAAGGATGTTTGTGGAGTGAGGGTGTCACACCAAATTCAGTTGATTCTCGTATTTGGCCTCGTGCTCTTGCTATAGCTGAACGTTTATGGTCTCCATCTTCAATTACAGATGAAAATTTTCTTTATGAACGTCTCTTTCGAATGAATCATTTATTCGATAAAATGCAAACAGGTGTTACCCATATTTCATCATATAAATCTCAATTACAAAATTTAATTCTTGATCCAAAGAAAAAAATCGATCTTCTAGATCCATTAGTTATATTAGCTAATGTATGTGAAGCATGTGGCCCACTAGAACGTTTTAAAATTTATAAATATTCAACAAATACTTCATTAACAACATTTGCTGATGTTTTACAACCAGAAAATGAACTTATATGGAAATTAGGAAAACTTCCTATTAATGATGAATCATCATATCGTGATATATTTCAAACTTGGTCTATTAATCATTTACGTTTAAAAGAATTATTTGATAATGTTGAAAAAACTAAAAATCAAGAAATATGGGGACAAGATATTGAACAATTATCAATAAATCTTGCTAATACAAGTCAAATTGGTTTGAGAATTTTAGATTATAATTCAAAAAAAATATTAAATAGTGATAAAGGTAATACTATGAATTCATGGACATTATCAGATTGGATTTTATATCACAAGACATTATTAGAACAATTAGAAAATCAAGTGAAAGAAGTACGATTAGCTGCTGTGAGACCAGTTCTACGTTTACTTAATGCAATTCACATCATTCCATGATTTTTTTTAGTTTATTTTTTTTTATAAAACTTACTAAAATAAATACTTGATATAAAAACTTGTCAATGTAACTCCAAGAGGAGGCGATAATATGGAACTCACAAATTCTGAGTGTTATAAATTTATGATATATTGTCAGATAAATTAAAATAATCTATTTAACAAGATATCAAATCAATGAATAAATCAAAATCATAATTTTTTGTAGTTGATAGGCGCATTCTGAAATTTTCTCATTTCGAAAAAGATCGTTGTACTGAATAAGCTTATTTATTTTATCAGATATATCTTCAATATATAACTTCTTTTCTCTTAATGAATAATATATACGACACATGCCATAAGAAGTAGTAAATATCATTTTATTCTTCGTTTCATCAGTTCAGTCACCATATTAGTGTGCAATGCATATTGATTTGATCGTTCAGTAAGTTTTCGAGCACACTATTCGTTCAGTCGACGAGTCTTGACATATACTGTTGAGTTTAGCCTAAGCTTAGAGCTCACTTATGTTCATACATACTTTTCTATGTTCGTCGTATTCTTACTCTCCTAGATCAATAATACCATCACCCTACTGATTTCTACCTACAATAAAATTCTTTCGCAGCATTAAATGTAACAACCCGCAATATTTAGACTAGTTAAAGTCTACAGTAGAGATCTTAGATTCATAGAATGTTTTTGGAGGATTCTGGAAAGTTCCAGAATGATCTAAGCACTGTTATTACTAGCACGCCTTTTCTCGTTCCTAGAAAAAAATATTGAGTTGTCTTTGGTTTCTCCTTCGAAAATATACGTGAGTTCTATATAGGAAGCGGACTATCATTAATTTTCAAGCCTAATATACCATGAATTATGTATGAAAAAAAAAAAAAGAGATGATCATTTAGCTGAAAATTCTATTTTAATAGATTGAATAATTCTTGAAACACATTATTTTTTCGGCAGGATATAAGCAGTAAGAAGATTATACATTATATTACCAATGACAAAATGCTTGCGAATCGTATTTTTGATGGATATTTCCATGGATAGTCAATCGCAACAAACACAAGGCCCTCAGAAGCTTTTTTCCTTGTGTAAAATTCGTTGCGCTAATCATTCTGGTACAAAAAGAAATATTCAAATTTATTCAATAAATCATGATGCTAGTACCAAAATACCCAAAAACTTCGACTATTCCTGACTGCTACTGAGCAGTACTTGACGTTTTCAAGTATTTTAGTCCTAGTACCATGATTTATTGAGTAAATTTCAATATTTCTTTTTGTACTAAAATGATCAACGCCACGAGTTTTACACAAGAGAAAAAAAGCTTCTGAGAGTTTTATGTTTGTTGCGATTGACTATGCATGGAGATATCCATCAAAAATACGTCTGTGAAGCATTTTTTCGTTGGTAGATGCATAACTGTCTATTGTTAGACTGAAATTAAATTGATCAAATGTGATATGGAGTAAAGAGGTTTTTTGAATGATTTCTTTTGTATTAGAAGTGTTAAATGTTTTCTCTCTGTTGAATAGAATATGTTGAAATAGATCAACATGATAATTACAATCTGATAAGTATTATTCGAATTCTGTATAAACCAGAAATACCGAATAAAAAAATTAATAGACTGATGAACAAATAAAAAAAATATGATTGATCTAGATAATAGAATTGTCTTTAAATTAATTAGTTGAAATGTTATTATATTGTTGTGTTGCAGCAATTGCTGCGTACCTCTTCATATGGATCAACTCGATCAAAAAATGATTTCGAAAGTATTGAAGTCCATTGTAATGAATTTGAATATATAAGAACGATCGATTTTGACAGTTGTCAAATAGGATCTTTTGTAGTTCAAAGTGCCAAGTTTTTTACGATGGATAATCTGATAGTATTCGTTGTATTCATGTTTAAAAAACAATCATAAAGTATATCAGTTTAACTTTTGTAATTTTAACATGAGAAAATTCAATACAATTTTACTTATTAGATGTAGTGATACTGCTGAAATTTTTAATAATAGATAGAATCGATTCTTTGTTTCCACGAGAGATCGCAAGTTTAATAGAGTCTCCATTACTGATACTCATTTCAAAAAGAAAGACAAGTGAATCTTTTTTTTAAATAACTTTTGGTACAAACAAGATAGAGTGCTGCAGTCTTTTACCTTTGGAAAGAGAAGATCAAGTCGCATTGAATCATATATTGTAGGTCTCTCTAAGATGTTTTCTGAAATTGTTTTAATCAGTTTTTTTTATTGTAATATTTTAAAACACATTCAACATTCGTAAAATTATCATAATTATAAATGAATAATTTCTCCGAATACAATTTTTTCTCATTATCTAGAGACTTTCAAATTGATTCATCATTTATTATTCATCTAATATTTATCTTATTCATTTGATTTAATAATTGATTGTAAATGTTCAACTAATTCATTTAATTCTAACATATTCTCATTTGGTTGAGCTTTATATGTCAAACGATAATCTTTGTCAATAACATATATTCGAACAGGCCATGATGAATATAATTTTTCAAATAAATTTCCTTCTGGTTTATCAATTACAATAGACATTTGAAGATTAAAATCTCGAATAAAATCTTTTGCAACTGCTAAACGTTCTTCAATTGTATGAGTTTGATTATATTTAATTGGCATTTGTGTTGGACTCCATCGTGCACTACAAATAGGCCATTCATCTTGTGCATGTGCTTCAAGTATATAAATAAAACGAAAATTAATATATTTACAATAGATATTATATAATTCCGATAATCGAGACATAATAGCTCTTAATGGTGGTCAAGAATATGACCCGCCAATTAATACTGTTGATGAAGATTTTAATCCATCAAATAATTGACTTTCTTGTCCATCGAGTTGAATGACTGGAACATTAGGTGCAATATCACTTATTTGTAAATTACCATCTCTAGCTCGATTATATTGAACATAAAGTGGTATATGTTTTAAATCAGGATAAATTTGTGTTGCACATCGTAAACATAATAGTGCATTATCCATTTCATCATCTAAATTAAATTCACGAATAATTTGTCGTTGTAATTCATCAGTTACATTTAACCATGATGATGATGATGATGATGATGATGATGTTTTTTCTGCTTCACAATAACGTTTTTGATATTCATCTGATAAACGTAATTCATTTTCACGAATTAACATACGTTTAAGAAGACTTTTTGGAATATATGATTTAGGTACTGTTGATGACTATTCATTACAAAACAAAAAAAAAACAATAAGATTTAAAGTTATTTCATGAAATTTTTTTCTTACATTTGAATTTATCAAATCTTCATAGGTAAATGTAGCTCGACCACTGGTTACATGTGCCATACCCATTGTTATGTTCTTGTTTTTTTTCTTTTATTTTCACGTCCTTTTATACTAAGTTTTAATTGCTTGTGCATGAGTAATAACATGAATCATCAATAAAAATTCACGTTGTTTGGAATTTGTCAACAAATATGAATCACAGTTTGATACGTGCAGGTTTTTTTTGTAAAAGTGCAAGTCATAAGTGATGAATCATTAGAAAGGATTATCATAAGAATATTTTGTTGGATTTTATTTAACAATACTAAATACAAAATGTGTTCGAAATTTTGGCATGTAGGCAAGATCAAAATTGGAATTGGCATCATTCGTTCTTCTAATGAATGTATCGAATTTAGTGTACTCTGCTACAAGTATATCACAGTAACCTTTGAGTGTCTGATGAGTTTTTAGCAGTTCACTACAAAACACTTCTAAATGTTCAATCTCTTTTAAGTGGAGATGATGTAGATCCAAATGAGCTATGAATACTCTGAAAAGAATTCATACCCTTAGTCTACTGCTACGGAGATACTGCACTGTTACGGTATCTTTAAATAAATGCCGTAGTTCAACATCAGAAAAACTAATTTTCGAATTTTCTCTTCAAACTTTACATAGAGACAGATCTTGACGACAGTAGATTTGAAAGACACGCTATTATGATAGCTGTATCTTAGGATAGAAACAGCAACACGATCTAAAATATTCACAAAGAAAAGCCTATTCTCATTAAGACCTGTCTCTATATAAAGTTTCAAGTCGAAATTCAAAGACCAATTTTTCTGTTATTGCAGGTTTTGTTTACAAAATACAGTAAAATTGCAGTGTCTCTGTAGCAATAAACTTAGGACATGAACTCTTTCCAGAGCATTCATAACTCATTTGGATCTACATAATGTATATAAGCGATTGAACAATTGAAGGACTTCTCTCGAGAATTAATTATCAGTAGAATACCCAATCAACATCTTTTGACCTAGTGATAAAACGATACATGAAAAAGTACTTTGTTAACAAATGACCCAGTACAGGGGCACCTTGATTTCTCTTTTTGTTTTTATAAAGTTTGTCTATAGAAATGTTTGTGTGTTTAATTACAGTTTTTGTCAAGACATAAAGGAAAAAAACATTAAAGTTTTCTGTTATAAAAATATTTTCCATTGGAATATTTTTATCAATAGAAAGAATTTAATATTTGTAAACTGATATATCAATAACAGTCAAAGCTTTCAATCTGAAATCGTTTATTCTTGTTCGAATGTTTAATAGTTTTTCAAGAATACAATGAATATTTCTTTTTAGTAAATAAATCGTTGCTTAATTATAGATTTTAACAATAATAAAGTATTTCTTTTCTGTTAGAATTACAAATAATAATTATGTAATATTAGTCATCTTGGAATGTCTTACTTATTTTTCAAGGTCAAGGTCAATGAAAACGACGCTTTATCATTAATTGAATCATGTTTTTTGCTTATTCAGAAAAATACAAATAAATTTTATCATTTGAATCCAATATAAAAATATATTTTACTTCATAAACATTGGAATTTTCATTTAATATTTGTCTTTATTATATTTGTTTTTTTTTTCTACTTAATTTAAACAACAAAGCAATTTATGCATAAATATTGATTGACAATAAGCAATACTAAATGTCAGAAAGAGAAAAGTTTATTTATTCTCTTATGTGAAAAATCTGTCAAATGATGATTGTGCCAAGATAACATTTGTTTATAAGCAATGAATTCAAATATGATTTTATTTAAATAAGATTATCTCGAGATTTTATTTACTTATTAATTCTAAATAAATTACTTGTGGCGTTATCTACGATGATCTAAACCTATGAAAAAGAAGGCCGATGGAAAGAGATGTCACTGAATGTTTCTTTTTTTTTCGGGAAGTCATTCATCAATATATTAGAGTTGTCTTTCTCTATTCAATAGATAGTATATTGTTTATATTTCAATATCTTATAAGTTGATGTAAAGAAAAAGAAATGAATATTGAAAATTATATTTCACCACCAGAAGCACCTATATTTTATCCAACATGTGATGAATTTATTGATCCACTTGAATATATTGAAAAAATTCGTCCGATTGCATCACGATCTGGACTTTGTAAAATAATTCCGCCAAAGGTAAACTTATATTAACGAGATTATATAAATAACTGTTTGTTTGTTTTGTTTTTGTCCCAAAAGGAATGGCAACCACCATTTTGTATTAATCTTGATGAATTTCGTTTTACACCACGTATACAACGTATTAATGAACTTGAAGCTGGTACACGAGGAAAAATAAAATTTTATGAACGTTTAACAAAATTATTTGAGTCTCAAGGACTTAAATTAAAAATTCCAACAGTTGAAAAGGAAACTTTAGATTTGGCAAAATTACATAAAGTTAGTGACTCGTTTTCTTTTTTGTTTTTATGTTAAGACGAAAATAAAGAGAAAGAAAAAAAGATAACTTTCAATTGAATTATTATTATTATTTTTTGTTATCATTAGATTGTTAAAGAAGAAGGTGGATATGATATGTGTTGTTCACAAAAAAAATGGGCTAATGTTGCACGTAAAATGAATTTTCATGATACACAAACAAATCGTGTTCTGAAACAACATTATGAAAAATTATTATTATCTTATGATGTTTATGAAACAGGTATTTATGAAGAACAAACAGATATATCAAGTCAAAATGATTTAAAAAAAGGAAATAATTCAAAAACAGGTAGATTTATTATTAAGAATTTCATGAAAAATAAAAATTTGAAATGGTTCTTTGTTGTTTTCGATTATTTAGTAGTTGAATCAAATGGAACAATGAAAAATGGAAATAAACGAAAAGATATTTCACCACCATCAATTACAAATAATGTTGATCCGGTAAGAAAATAA